TTAAGTTGCAAATTAACATTGTTTTAGTGGTTACTGGTAAATGAGAACCTGAGCATCTTTCAGGAAACAGCTGATGCGGAAATGCAAAACAAAGGGGGTTTAAAATTAATTATTTAAATTGGCATGTCCTATTACATTATTTAAACCAGAATATAAATCTGCCTAGCATAGGTTTGACTCAAATGGGGATCTCTCAGTTGTGGATTTACGAGCATAAGTTACAATTAAAAAAAAATTACAGTATCTGATCAAGATTGTAATATATAGTATTTATAATTTCTACCAAGTATTTGATTTGATGGGAACCAAACTGGTGCTGCCATTGCCAAAAGCCGATCCTCATCATTTATTTTGTGGTCGTATAAATTTTCCTTTGCCTGCTTCTTTAGTGGTATCCCAAATTGTAACTCTTTTTAATGGTCAACCTATCTTGGCTTGAATTTTCCCATGCCTGAGGTCCACAATGCTGATTTAGCAGAACACAAACTTTGAAGAAATTTCCTTTTCTCTGTGCTGTTTATTATATCCTTTGCTTCGCGTGTAGACCAAGCTCTGAAGCTTAGGTCAACGAGAAACCACCGTTGTGGTCAGGCTGGCTCATGGGAAGTGGCACTCAAATGGTTCCAGTTTGTTTTTCTCCTGGGTCTGGGATGATTCCCACAGGTCAGGCCGGCAACTTCTGGCTTTTGAAATTGATGTAGATACCTCCCAAATAACGTGTCCTTTTTACCTGTGTCTGCACGATGGTGGTTCTTACTCTAGGCAGGGTGAATGGTCCTTCAAGGAGAACTAGGGTGGGCTTAGCGCTTACTCGGACCGTTTGGGTTTGAGCTTTTCCAAGGCAGACGTCAACAACTTGTCAGCTATAAAGAGAACATGAAATAATATTTTACGTTCTTTTTTTTTTTTACTTTATAAAGTTAAATAAGTGCTCCAAGAAAGTTTCTGTGTTTGTTTATTCAATTCCTTAAAACCTTGGAATCCAGACCTATAAATACAGGCTGACTTCATGTTTACAATTATGATTGCTCTCACTTGAATTGATTGACGCTACTTGTAAAAAAAAAAAGGTATTAAGGTATGTTTAGATCTGCAGGAAAAGATTAATATTCTTCCTGTTACAATATGTTGCTCTTGTACATAAGGGAAAGCCAGTGTGAAAATATCAACCTCTCTGACTTTTCTAAACCTAGGAAGCCTGTTTGCCAGCTATCACGGAAGTAAAAGGAAGGACTTCGCAACCAGGCTTAAGAGATGTAGCTTTTCACAAAGTTAGCAGCTGTATTGCAAGCTTAATAGTAGTTGGGTATCAATGTTAAATAAAGAGTCAGCATTTCTTACAAAGAATTGTGGCCTGACACAATTATTTTCTTATTGGGGATTTTTAATGTAATTTCTGCATTGCAGATTTCTAGCTGGAGTTTTGCCCTAATTCTTTTTAGAAGATGATGTAGGCTTACTAATCCATGTGAGTTTTCTTAAGAAATGTAACCACGTTTCAGATTTACAAAATTATCCCTGAATATCACCTGCAGCTGAATTTAACCAATTTAGAAAACTTTTGCCTCCTTGTTAGGAAATACCCTTCATTCAAACTTGAAAAAATAGATGCGGTAAGAATTATGTTTCCAAGTCTGTGTTTACAAACCTAAATCAATGATTTGGTTTTTCTCAAATGTTCAGGTTGCAGAAAGTTTACCAATTTAATTAATTAAGTTTATTATGTTGGAATATGATGCCATGGCTTTGAGTGACTCAGAATGGAGTAAAAACTAACAGTTAAATTTAAAGCATCATTTGTTTATAAACCAGAAATGTGTCCAAATAAATTTGCATCTGCCAGATTTTTAAACTGTGACAATGCAGTTTTGATTTACGTTCCTTTTTGCTGAATAAAATGGCTTAATTGCATTACATAGTATTAAAGCGAATATTTTATATAAAGCTAAGCCGGGTACTTTTAGGCAAACATTATTTTTGCCTTGACATACATGCAAAAATGTTTCCCACTTAAAGGAAAGTGGTTGAAGGAATTTGGATTGGGTAATTTAGGTTGAACTGTTGAAAGCAAAGTTGCTTGCTTAGGCATCAATCCAGTCAAAACTCGTGCACATCTTTAAATCTTTTTAAACTTTCTGCAGTCTGCGTAGCCTGTGAGACCTCTACTGACATGGATAAAGTAACAAGCATGCAACATCTTTCCCGAGTTGGATGTATGTACCCTACCATCACATGCACTTGAATTCAGCGTGTTTAATTGTGCTTCCAAATAGAAGACCTGGGGCACCGCAGAGATTACCTGATCACACCAAAATGCTCAGCTGGTGGTCAAAAAAGAGATTTCCTTGCTCATCTATGCCTATGCTTGTGGGGGAAAAAAAAAAAAGAGGAATGTTTTGTTGCTTTTAACATCAGCTTCATTGGATTGGTTTGTCTCACTAGTGCAGTTGTGACGCAGTGTTGTGTTTTATCAGTGCCCACCCCCAGCAGAATTCTTTGCTTAAGAGGAGGCAGATTTTCACCTACTGAATAAGGCTGTGGACTCACATTGATGCTTCTCGGTGTTGTCTTGTGTGTTCTCCTGTGCCGGAGTGAATTTTATCCCCGGACTGCCTGGTGTAAGTTATAGCCCTCTTTCTATCCTCTGGAAGTTTGCATGTTCAGATGTGACTGTGCTGAATGATAGGATGTCTATTTTAGATTTCAGCCTGTGTTTACAATCAGGAGGGTGAGTTGCTGGAAGAACTTAGCTCCTTTTTCTTTTGAAACAACTTTTAAATACTGGGTGAGTTTTAAAGATTTCTCTGCATGGCTTTCTTTTATCAAATGTGTTTTCCATAACCATGAGAACTTGTTTTCTCTGAATGGATCTTGAAAATCTGTAGTGTCGAATCATAAAAACCACTTGCTTGTTAGAAAGACTTTGTTCAGGCACTGAAGGATCAAATTGTCCTTTAGTTAGAGGAAAAGATATTTATCAGCAAATGCACAACAAGCACTTGTTGATACTTTACCTATCTAACTTGTTTGTAGAATTGCTGTTTAAATGTGACTGCTGTCTGTGTTTTCAGAGAATGTTTTCACCAACAGAATGCTAAATATTTTATATGCATTTTTGACCTTTCAGTGCTGGGCACAGAGTTTGATAGGGACTAAGAAAATGAAGCATCGTCTGGAAGTTTTGGGAGCTGGTGGTGACAGCAGTCCCCCTCTGCGATGTTAAACTGGGTGGGAGTCCTTGGAAAGCTATCAACTTCTGTCTTGTTTCCATATCGAGTAGTAGCGTGAAGTATGCTTAAGCACATTGTGAACATGTTAAAACAGGAACTGATTGACACAAAAACTGCTTCTGCAGATGCGGTAACTGATTTTTTTTTTTTTTTTTTTTTTTTTTTAAGTCAAGGGTGCTTTTTGTGTACTGGAGCATTAAACTTGCATCATGCTTGGCCTTGTGACAAGTCCTGTGCACGTAATGTAGAGCCATATAGGGATGTTAGCCTTGAACCACTTGAATTAATACCACCTTTCATATCATAAGTGTAGTATTAGTAATTTAAAGTAGATAATTTGCGAGCCGTGTGGCCTGAGAACAAACTGGAAATGATAAGGGACTATTGGTGTGAATGATGTTAGTAGCTTTGGTCATAAATCAGGCTTGGTTTCTCTGCAGTGCTGTGTTTAGTACCAATAGACTGGAATGCCAGATCTGGTATGAGTTTATATACATGGGTGGGAAGCCTGACAGATCAGTTTTATGTAAAGAGCAACACAGAGAAATTAGAGAGGTATGGAATAACCTCCTAGAAGCTGCTGTCTGGTAAGCATTTTAGACAGACTTGTCAGCCACTGGTAACTAGAAGTGAACCTGCCTGTCAGTATAAATTCAATGCCACTGTCTATCATGAAACGGCTGCTGTTTTCAACTCTGCAGGGGAAAAGACATTGTCCTCTGTCTGTCTTGTCATAATGCAAAGTGGAGTAGTTGTAAGAGTTATCTTGAGAAATGCTACACTAGCTGCTGTCTTTTGATTTTTGCTCATACTTGGGCAACAACAAAACAGTTATAAGCAGGACCTCACAAAATCTCTGTCCCATCCGGAGTAGGAGAAAGTTTTCAACTGCTGCATGGGGCAACTTCTGAGAGCAGAAGAGCTGCATACAGCATGATTTATATGTGGTATAAGCTGCATACGGGATGATTTATATACCTTTCAATGTTTCACGAGCGCAGTAGGTTCTTCCCTAATTTTCTGTGAAGAGAAGACTAAAGGACATTTATGGGGTCTCTGCTTGTTTCCTTTATGTCACACAGTTGGACTGCAGGTGGGGAATGCACTCTGATTGCTTCCCTAGACTTTGAACTTCGTCCTGAGCTTTTATTTAACCGTTCGTCCCCGTTGTTAGATCTTTCTGCATTCTCTTTAGCAGCGATTTGTTTGGCAAAAAAAAATAACAACGGACAACTTTGTTTTTCAAATTTCTTATCATTTTTTTCCTAAAAACTTGTCTAGGCTTAGAAGTGAACTGTGAACAGTTTCCAGAAGAGCTGTCTTCGTAAATGTCCGTATATAAACATGTCCTAAAATGATCTCATGGTTACCAGGAGATCCTGACTTTTTCTTGAGGATTCACTTGCCGTTCTGCGTGAATCAAGGTGCTTCCTTACCTAGGTTTTGTTTTCATCTCTGCCTTAGGGAAGAAATAGCACTTTGTGTTGACAGAGTTATAACAAGATGTTTAGCTAGCAACAAAATAAAGTCTGAGGGGGGTGTCTGGATCATCTGCCAGCGAGGCAGCAGGACGTGCTTAGCATTTCCAAAACTCCGATTTTTCTTACTGAGGTACAGGGTCTGTAAGTTTCTAAGACCACTTAAACAGTGAAAAGCTTCAACTCAGACCTCCTAAGTATGATATTCTAATTATGGATCATAAGAAAACTGCCTTAATGCAGAATTAGCTTCTTACAACTTGAAATTTAATCTCTACACATCTCCCTTTGCTCTAACAGCCATCAGAGATGCACGCTCCAGCTTCAGGTCCTGCAGCTCCCCGGTGCTAACTAACACAGCTCCTCTGCCCTGCTAATGCCCAAGGGTGAGTTTGCAGCACGGCCACTGCAGTGCAGGCTGGGCTGGTTCAGGAAGAGTTATCCACAGTGTAAACAGAAAAATGAATTTTTCCACCCAGTGTCTGCTGCAGGAGCGTTGCACACCTGACTGCGGAGCCCTTGGTGGAGAGGCAGTATCAGTCCCGCAGGTAAATGCAAGGATTTCCTAGCATCTAGTGGGTCAGGTTGAATTGCATTTGGCATGCATAGAGGCATGTTGAAGAGATACAAATAAGCGCAGGAGAGAAGCAGGCTAGTGACTTCCAGCTGTCACGCAGAGAGCAGAAGATCTGCCATTCCCTACTGTATGGTGTTTTTTCCAGTTTCTTTTTTGTCCCAGTAACAACATGAAATACCACAGGCTCTTGGGTTAGATTAGGTGATGAGGGGCATAGCTCAGCGTGTCTGAGCATGCCAGATGTATTTTGGGCTCTAGAAAGAAGCATGCTACAAGATTTAGTCTGTATTTAGTCACTGGCCTACTTTGCAGGATATTTTGCATTTCTGAAAACTTTCTCAGCAGAGATGTACCCTTTTTTTTTTTGCTTTCTTTCTTTAAACATTTAACATCTCTTACGGTTATTTAAGGTTGAAATTAGTAACACCTAGCCATTCAAATGCTGCCTTCATGTTAATTTTTAAAGTGTGTTTATTCCCCTTCCTTTTTTCCTTTTGATTTTCATTGTGTTAAAGACAAGGCTCGACTGTTGCTGTGCTCTGTCAACGGTGCATACGCAGTGGGTGTCAAGTTGAGCCTCCCAGGTTTTGGAGGAAGCTCTATTTTGAACTGTCGCCCTGCATAAAATGACAGGAGGGGTGACTTCTTACTTAAGACATCCTTTTCTCCCGTGGCCATATATCCCATTTCACAGGGAGGGAGTTTATGTAGCTGTCTCTCTGAGCTGTTTGCCAAGAGCCCTCCTGACAGACTTTGGGAGACTCTTTGGCTTTCACAAGGAGTCTCAGGAGCACACATACACACACTTGAAGTCTTAATTTCTTTGGGACCATCTGGAGTTCTCCCTCCTCCCAGGGAGGCTAATAAAGGCAACCTTGTGACTTAGTGGTTTATTTTGGAAGCTGCAGGAACTCGCTGTGGCTGGAGGACCCAGATTTGGCAAACGTTGTCCCATGAACTCCATTGTGGTGGGGGAATGTCACAATCCCCCTGTTCTTCCTTATCCCAGAAATTGGGTTGCCGCAGTAAATTGGTAGGTTGGTTGATAAGTGGAGAAAAGACAGATCTCTGTTGGGAATAAGGGTGTGCTTTCATCTTGTGGGTCTGAAGGAAACGGGTCTCTTATAATCACAGGGTATGTGGATGCATGCATGGATCTCAGTCAGCTTTGCCCATTTTCAGCAGAGGAAACTGGGGCACCGAGGCTAACTTGGCAAAGGTACTGTGTAAATCCATGCAGGATGAAGAATTTAATCATTAATCTCCAGTATAAAGGAAGGACCGTAGTCCAGAACTTCATCTCCTAGCAAAAATCTGACATACATAATAGAAGTTTTTAAACAAATGAATTTAATGGAGTTTTGTCTTCCTTCACAGGCAAACAAGTGCTAACTCTAATTGTTTCTTCCAAATATTGTTAGCCTTTTCTGTCCTTGTCAAGTCCTTTTCCACTCAATGGGCTGAGTGCTCATGAATTATAAAAAGGCAACAAGTCTTCAAACATAAATGTATTGGTGCTTCGTTTTCTCATGTTATCTCATAGTATAAAAATCCTTATACAAATGTTTTTAGCTGTTAAGACCTTCCGAGATGTTATTTTGGAGTGTAAGGCATTCAAGGGTTGATGTCTGCTCCATGTCTGGAAAAGACTGGAGCAGCAGTTGTTCAGCCAGTTTGGAGCCTGGAGAAAGAAAGAGGGACATCTTTTCTGCTGAATATGTATATTTAGAGAAAGCATCAATCCTTGACATCAACTTAAGGGTTTTCTTGGAAACACTTACATATAGATGTGATATTTTCCTGTTGGTTGTTCTCAAGGATCCAGCATTTCAGGAATATGCAAAATCTCTTTTAATTTTTAACTTTGCCATTATTTCAGAGGTTTCAGAGACCCTTCTTCATCGCTACCGCAGGACCTACATTGCATTAGGGTCATCAAAAGAAATTAAGCATGGCCTTGAAACTGTGGATGTGGGTATATTGTGTGAGACTGAAGCGACTGTGGGGAAACTGAGAGAGAGCAGGAGGTGGGCTTGGGGATTTTTGTCTGATATCCCCTGATCTCTTGAAATGCTTTTTAAAACGTATGGAATTGGGTGATGGATATTTGCTGCTAAATGTTCATTTAACCCCTTGCCACCTCCAAAATGGCACTTTTCTGGAGCCAAACAGCATGGATAGGAAAGCAGAGGGTGGTATGGGATGTCTTCGTGGCAGCTGCTAGCAGAAGAGGAGCAGCCCTCAGAAGAGGCAGATGGTTTGGGCAAATTTGCTTCTAGCTTTTGACCATCATGACATCGGTGTGGGCCTTATCGCTCCGCTTAGCAGTCTTTTGGATGGTGAAGGTTTTATTTTTTAAAGTCCCTTTCTTTCTGCCCATTTTTTGGTTTGGAAGAGCTCACTCTTTTTTCAGATTAGCCTAATTAAGGACTAATTAAGATGTAATTCAAAAGGCGATCATAAAACTGAAACTATCAAACGAACTACTAAAAGATATCTCTAACAATGGTTTGAATATAATAACTGTTAGTAATTGGTAATGATCTATAGGAAAGAGCAGAACGCTCAACTTTTTAGTTAAACTGGTTTTTATAGTCTTCTCTAGAACTGAAGGGATATATGGGAATATTGCAATTCTTGTGCTGTTTCAGTGACTGAGAAGCTGTAAGAAAATTGTATTCCTACTGCATGGGAATTGATAACAGTAATAGATGAATATTAATGCTCTTCAAGAGTATTTTCAGTGGCGTTTCCGAGACAGACATATAGATAAAATCATTTTTCAAAGGAGTGCATCCCTGGCTGTAGCTAATAAAATGGTGAGAGCTCTGCTGAGGTCGGTGGAGCTAGGTGATGTACATCAGCTGGGAATTCAGGCTGTATGGTATGGTCTAGATATTCTGCATGTCTTATATTCACTGGGTGCAAAAAGCCAGGAAGAGTCCTCCTTCTAGAAAGAGGGGTTATTGCACTGCTTGGTGAATTCAACACAAACAAAACCCCCAACCTTTCTAAATCCTTTTAAATTGCTCAAAAGATTTTCTCCGTCAGTGATACTGCAAGAAACATATTGCTTTAGAGGTGACCTAATTTTAACCTTTTCTGAATTGCTTTATGATTAGAACAGTCACATGCCGAGGTAGGACCCCATTAGTGGGTTTAAATCATCTGTTTACTTGTGAAAACACACATTGTTACGGGCTCCACTGAGTATTCCTTTTTTTTTTTTTTTTTTAATTTTCTTTTTTTTTTTTTTTTTTTTTTTTTTTCTGTTGCAGGACAGAACATCGCAGTTGTACCAGTTTGGGAGCAAAATATGGAATATGTTTCACTGCTGACCGAAGGCAGCCAAATGAACAGTATTTATAGTAGTTTGAAAATCAGCAGTTAGCAGTTTCTTCACATTCTAACACTACCCAGCACTTTCCAGAGAGAACTCATTGTTTACAAGAAATCTGCTTTCCAAATCCGTTGCGGTGCCCTCCAGCCTTGACTATTAACTATTTGCAAAGGGGAAGCTAATCTACGGTTTGAGGAAAGATGGCAATGGATGAGTACCTGTGGATGGTCATTGTGGGTTTTATCATTGCTTTTATTTTAGCCTTTTCAGTTGGTGCAAACGATGTTGCCAATTCTTTCGGAACGGCTGTGGGCTCTGGTGTTGTTACTTTACGCCAGGCTTGCATTTTGGCTTCAGTTTTTGAAACCACTGGCTCAGTATTACTGGGAGCAAAAGTAGGAGAAACAATTCGGAAAGGTATCATTGACGTTAACCTGTACAACAGCACTGTCCCACTGCTGATGGCAGGAGAAGTGAGTGCAATGGTTGGTAAGTAATACTTTTCTATTCCAAGTAACATGTATTTGTCATCCTGTTTGTTGTGAATATTGTTAATTAAGTCTTCCCGTCTTCTGGACTTGCACGTCTGATTTTGTGTGAATGCAGGGACCTGTATTCCTTTTTTAGTCTCCTATGTTTTTTAAATGCTTCTAATAATTTACATTTTTCAGTGGTTCAGCCATTTAACTAATAGAAGAAATTTTTTTTTTAACATAGTGGATCATATATATGTATTCCTAGTGTACTGTAAAAATTATTTTGGAGATTTTTATGATGGTAAATGGAAAATATGTAAGCATAGCATTTGTGACTATACAGAAGATCCTACAGAAATAGCAGTTTGCAGTGAATATATACGAGAAGAAATTACCTAAATAATTAAAAAAAAATTACAGAAAATCCAAACATATTTCTTAAACTGATTGTCTAGCTGTGCGATTGCAATTAATCGTACACTTCACCCTTGCACATGGCAAAACTAAAGGAGCAGTGAAGATAGATGGTCACACATTTCAGGTCTTTTCAATTTTTCTGACTCAAACCAACAGCAGTTCAGTATACCTTAGAATCTGCTCTGCTTTTGTTTGCAGTTAAATTAATCTCTGTTAGAACAAATAGCATATTCTGAGGTAAGTAACATTAAGCCACAGTATTTACTCTTTGTTTATATGCAAGAGGCTTTGTGAGCTTTTGGAGAGCTCCCTCAAGAATCAATACCAAACCTGCTTTTAAAGGGCAGGAGGCAGCAGGAAGGAAACCCTTTCACTGTGGGAGAGGCAGCCCAGGCGAGGGGCCAGCCTGCGCATCCCACCACCACCTCAGTCTGACAGGTCCGTGGCATCCCATGACAGGGCAACGTGATTTATACAAACATTGCTGTGTCCTCTGTTTGAAAGAGATGCTCCACTCAGAGATTTTCTTCCTTAAACCTCAGTAAACCTAACCTAAATATTAATTCCACCTACCCCCCTCTAACCTCCCCACAGTTTTCAGGCAGGACCTGCATGTGAGATAGGTGAATCTGTGCAGAGGTCTACTACATGTGGTTATTTTCCCATTTCTTTGGGGAAATGGGAAAAGTTTGCTGTAATTTTAATGGATCAAGATGGGCAGTGAGTGCCAGTTTCTGGACTTGTCTGAGGTGGCTTTGTGTGCTTGAGAGTGGGGAGGTGGTTCCCTTGGGCTTTTGCAGCTCCTGAGCCTCCTGAAAGTTGTCCACCTTCCCCTGCCCAAGGGGAAGAGGGGTTGGTTAGCGAGAAATCACCGCTGGGACTGCAGCCACTTCCCCAAACGGTCCCTCTGTGAGGCTGCCAACTCAAACCACATCAAATGCTTTTGGGCACCCCCCATCAGTTCCTCTTTACCGATGTCTTGCGAGGTCAGCTGCAGATTTCTGGTCTTTCCCTCAAGCTGTAGGGTGCCTTCTTAGTACCGCTCCACTTGCATCATTTAGCCTTCTGCTTCCTGAGATAGCTCCATTATTTCCCACGGGCGTGCGCCCAGCAGCAGCGCACACCATCTGAAATGTAAGTGACCTGCGTCTTTTGACCTTCACATTCTTGATCCTCCCGGACCCTGTTGAAGGAAGGGTCCTCTTCCTTTTCTGTATCTATTTCTGGCATCCTGATCCTGGCCGGGCAAAGTTTTAAGTCTCAGATGCCCCCCGTGGAGGCAACTGGCCAGAAGCTCAAAGAAAACAACTTATTTGCATGCGTATTTACATAAGCCTGTGTGAACTTCATGACCAGTTGCATTCCCTTCCTCCAGTAAGGGCATTAAGAAGAAATTCCTCATTTTAAATCTCAGAATTAATCACAAGTTACAAACTGCAGATTTCGATTTTTTTTCCCTGAAGTCCATCTCCAGCTTTTCTCTGGATGTATGATATTTTTTTCTGTGTTTTCTTTGAGCCTTCCTGGATGTTTTCTTTTCCTCTTTCTGTTTTTGCTCTGCATTTCCCGCCCTATTCTCTCATGCCTCATGATTGTGTTTTTGCGAATGGACTTAGCTTCTGAATTTCTATGAGGCTTAAATGAGTCAACAGTCTGGGAGAGACCAAAAGTCACTGTATCCTCTTTCCAGATGTTGGTGGAAGATCCTTTGATGCTTGCAGCAAACAGCAGATGGTGATTTTCAGGGCAACCTTCTCTCCTAAGAGAAAAGGAAGCAGAGAGCAACAGGATTAAGATTTTAAAACGTAACATTTTGTAATAATTTGTAGGGTATTAAAATGTTGTTTGTTAGGCAGTCGGGAAGTTAGGGACTGTTGCTCTTGGGAGTAAATTGTAGTACTTCCCTAGCCTTAACTAATTGCCAGGCTATTGTCAGGAATTGCCCGAGTGTTGTTCTAGTGGTCCTGGTGGGAGCTGAAGTCAGCAGCTTGTGCGGCCGAGGAGATGCCACTGACAGAGAGGACACCCCAGCCAGGATTAGCAAAGCAAAGTACTAACCCAGTCTTGCGGGTGCTCTGGTACCTGACGGGGGCTCGCAGCTGGCACACAGCACCGGAGCCTCAGGAGAAGGGATGCGCATGAGGGGAGCATGAAACCCACCCTGAGCCGAAAGACGGTGCTGGCGACTCTTGGTCAGGGCAGTCCGCAGCCAGCCCTCTTTCTTTAGGAGATAGCAACCACGAGGAAAGGCTATGCGGCCATGGCGTCAGCGGGCATGAAGAGTCTGAATTTGGGGCTTCGTGACAGGTCTAGTGAGCCTTCTGCTTCCTAGGCTAGTTTGGCAAAGATAAAAATTGGGAGCATGCATTTTATGTTAAAGAGGGGTTAAGGCTTTGATGTAGGTAGTTAAGGCATTGCCAGCCATAGAGGGAAGTCCTGCTCTGGCTTGATTTTTATTTTCTTCTGTTCCTTAATGTGCTTCCTTAAACTTCTTTAGACCATGCATTGTCCCTCTCAGACCATCCCTCAGTCCTCCACAACTTTCCCTCTTGCTCTCCTGTTTGTTTTCAACATGAAGTTGATTAAATAAGAAATAGTGCCATACTTCCTCTATTTCCCCCCCCCCCCCAAGAACCCCAGCCCTCACTACACATTTGCAGTGCACCTGTGGCTTGGTTGCATTTTCCCTATTTTTTAGGCTGAGTATTTTGTAATTACATATCTAAGGCTGGCTTATCTGTTTATTTGGCTCTTTACAGATGTTACCATCTGTTTTCTCTTTCACCTCACTTCCACTTGCTGGTCTCTAAGTTCATGTCAGAATTTTCAAAGTGTATTTATTTTTATTTTAGTACAGGAGAAGAGAAGCCAAAAAATTAAAGAGCAGGTGTTCCTTGTTTGATCTAGAATTTCCAATAGCAATAGGAGTACCAGTTGTTTTGGGATAGTACCCCAGGAGAGATCAGTTTTACAAACTGGTTGACTTCCAAATGTAGCCACGTATGATGACAGCAAATCACTATTTGCAGATGGCTCCACTTCAAGACCTTCAAACCATCCTGTCCTGTTGGAATTGAGGATGGAGGCTGAGATTTTGAGTAACAGCGTATGTTCAGCGACCTTGCTTTATCACCTGCGTCTGCTGCAGATCTGTTAAGAGAGGTGGCACAAGCCAGAAAATACGGGATCTCTCATGGCAGTTTGATTGCTGCCATTGGGGCCTCTTGACACATGAAGATTTAGTCTTAAGGCCATGAAGTCTTAAGATGCAGAAGAGATCTTTCTAAGAATTCTCTAATGTTAGGTGACATCCACAGAAAGCTTGTGTCACTGCCAAAATTATTTTGGTGTCCTGAGGTTAGTGCCACTGCAGGAGGAGCAGGGAACCTGGGTCCTTGCAGTGTGACAGTGAGTCAGAGCACGGAGCTGCGTGCTCGAGGGCTCGGTGGCCAACTGTGGTCTGATCTAACTACTGGAAGTTGGGACTGAAAACAAATACAAGGCATACTCTCTGGCGCTTGGGGTTGGGTTTTTGGGGGGGGGGCAGTTCTGCACTCTTGACAAACATCCTTCCTTGGGATGTCTGTTGGGACACCAGACATCGCATTTACTTTATAGACCATTAGCCACCATCCCTTAGTTCGGGGATCTTATTTCCTTATGCCAAAGGTATCTTTGGCTATTCCATGACTAAGGTAAGCCTTTTCTGCAGTTCTGAATTTCTCCAGTGCCACAATGAGCTGCAAATGAAGGCAGTGAGAGAGTCCTTATTCCCTCCTCAGTCCATTTTTCCTATAGAGGACTCCGGATGGCTGCATGTCACTGAGAAGAGACATAAAAACTCCCTGCCCCACAATTTGAGTCTTTCTGTGGTAGCATCTGAGTTTAGGAGCATGGGTAGTTCATTAGAGAAACGGTGGATGCCTCCTCACACTGATCACTTGGAGGCTTCCAGGTCCAGCTCTCAAGAACGAGGTTTTCTAAGCTTGATGCAGGCTAGGAGCAGTTTGTGTGTTTAATAAGACAGACTGTAAATAGTGAAAGCCTTCAAAAAAAAAAAAAAAGGCAGAACTGCAGAACCGTTGTGCAGCGTAAAGAGCTGTTAGTAATAAAAAAATCATAAGTAAGATGCAGCATTCAAAGCTGCTATTAGACTGTCTTAGTATCTGCTTTTTGAGACAGAACAGGAACAAAACTCTCTTTAGGAGATCTCTGTTGTGCATGTGGAGTGTAGGCAGTGCTCATAAAAGAATGTGGGTACATGGCAAAGAATTTTCTGCACAACATCATTGTTACTGTTGTTGTTTATACCATATGGTTGGTTTTTTATCTAGGTTCTGCTGTTTGGCAGCTGATTGCATCATTCTTGAAACTCCCTATATCAGGGACCCATTGCATCGTAGGTGCTACAATTGGATTTTCCCTGGTGGCAATTGGCACGCAGGGAGTCCAGTGGATGCAGCTTGTCAAGATTGGTAAGTGCTGTTTCTTTTTAGGCATGAGGGTATGTGAAATAGTGTGTGCTGCCTGCAAAAAACATTCCCAGAAATCTGCTTTGTGCTGATAGCACTCCCTCCTTAAATTATTTTCCACCCCAGTCTTGTCATTCAGAAGATGCACTGATGCCATGTTCCTTAAGGGCTGCAGTGTGTCTCCAGTGGAGAAAGGGGTAAGACGCAAGTTGCACTTCTCCAGCGGTAAGCTGAGGAGACATTGTCCCTCAGAGACATGCTTCAAGGTGACATTCCTCCTCTTCTAATTCTTTTCGTGGCAGCTCATACCACCTCGTCTCTTGCTCTCAACAATGGTAGCCATCATGTGAATGCCCACAGTCATGTTTCTCCACCCACCAGCTTCAGGGAGGCGAAAGCTGGGCATACAGCACATGTTTAAATCACAGCCTCCCACTGCCAAGATCAGCAGAGCCAAGCAGGGATGTGAAGGAGTTTTCATTATTATTGTTATGGAAGCCTTGTAACCCGAGTCACAGCCTAAACCCTGTATTAAAAGGATTTGATGCTGAAGGCAGGGAAATCCAATTGAGCTTAAGAGAAGCTGGAGCAATGTGGTTTTTTTTTAATTCTGTCAAAAGTAGAGGAGAGTTTGCAATGACAGCAGAATCAGTCTGTTAACTATGCCACAAATGATAAATCACTCTGGATGAGATTTCCAAAGCACTGCCCTAATCCAGTTTTATTGAAATCAGTGGGAGTTTTGCCACCTACTTCAGTAAAATCAGTCCTGGACACTTGCAAATCTGGCCTGCAAAAAATGTACATGCATTATTCATTACATTTGATGCTTCTGTGGCATTTTGGAAATCGAGACTTTTACCCTGTGAGCAGCATGGCATCCTGCTAGATGCAGTTGCTTTCCACTTGCTTGCAACATTCGTGGTCATGGTGATTAGGAAATTACAGGGCCTTCCTGGTCTGCTCTGCGTCAGACTACAAGAAACTTTCCTGATTAATTTGATTGCTAAACTTGCAGTATTATCGGGAAATGCTTTGGCTGATGTTTCTAATAGTGCCTAGCATTACTTTGACTTTCATGACTGTAAGTGGGCATCGAGTTGCACAGTTGTAAGTAAACATAGGGAACATTCATTCCACTTGTACACGAACTGTTTTAAATTTATTGCTCATTAACTACTTACTTAACTACTATGCAAGAATACTATTTGTTTCATGTTTCATTCTTTCTTTTCTTCGACACAGTTGCCTCTTGGTTTATTTCCCCACTGTTATCTGGTTTGATGTCTGGAGTTCTCTTTGTGCTGATTAGATTCTTCATTTTAAACAAGGTAAAGGAATCTCACTATTATAATGAGTGCTCATTATGAAGGCTGTGTTCTAATCTCCCATTTGAGTGCTGGCATGTCTAGAGTTGAAAGTTTGTGGCTTGTTTTTTGGACAGGAGACCAGTAATTTTTTAATAGCCCTTGGAACTGTACTTGCTCTTCGCAGTTCTGAAAGCTCAAAGTAATTTGACAAGTATTTGAGGCTTAGAAGGTGCTACATGATAATTAATATTATATATTCTGTTTGATTAAAGGATTGTTTCTGTATTAGTACAAACTTGTTGGTATTGACTTAGCCTCACGATAGCCGTTCTGACTGTTAATTAAACAGAACAGTCCTTCCTTGGAGATACTCTAATTGGTATTTCATAGCTGTGAAATTTTAAGCTTTGGTTTTCTAGCACATCAGACATTAGAAGATGGGCATCTGCATATTTCCTAGATTCTCAAGAAATCTGAATCGATGCGTTTTAGTGACCTCAGTCAAAAGTGGCAGCTTTGAGGTAACATCACTCCATATATCTCCAGTGCGGAAGACGATTTGCCTGCCACCCAGCATGAACTGGAAACCAGAACACTTTTATCTGCTCTTTTCATTTCTCTCACACCATTCAACTTGCTAAAAATAAGGGACACTATATTAGCAGTTACACAGGGATCTTAAATAGACAAGGGATTAATTCTTTTGCTATAAATAATGCCACCTGTAACCTCAGCTTCATCATTCTTTATTTCTGATGTAAATAAATGTCAGCGATAAAAGCAGATGATAAATTCGGACTCAGCTTTGAATTTAAAATTACTCAAGTTGCATAAAGGACGAGGAAAAGTTCCTCTATTGCATTCAAAAGCTAACAACTTAAGAAATTAGTCATCAGAATCACATGAACTCTGATATAAAAGCCACATATTTCAGCATTCAAGAGGCAGGAAAAGTTCAAGCTGAGGAAATTGTCTTCTGACAGCCATCTGTGCGATTCACAAAGTAGTAAGATCTGTAGAGCTTCTGGCGTAAGCAGGTAGCGACTTCCGCGGTGTGTGTGCATAGAAAAAGAGCAGCTTTTTAGCTTGCGAGTCTGTGGCCTGGTTGTAGGGGTTCATGCCCTTGTTGGGGGTGTCCGTGAACAGCTGGCCCTGCGGATACAGCCCGTGATGAATCACGCTTTGGGACTGGGGCACAGCGCAGGGCGGCCGCAGCCTTCTCTCGGCTCCCTTTTATAGCCCATGGCAGCAATAAACAAAACCACATTAGCCAGTCCTTAGCTTCGCCAGGCTCTTTGCAAACACGCGGAGCCCCTCAAAAGGCCAAAACAGTCTCCTCACAAAGGCTTTTTCCATGGCTCGCACGGTGCGTTTCCGCTGCGCCGTCAGCTGAGCTTTTCCTTGTGAGTGCCGAGGGCACGAGACCCCAGCAGGCAGCAGGCACAGCAGTGTGCTAAACATTGCACACTCCCTTTGTGTATGTTACCTGTTTAATACTGCCAGACACTTAATATTTCAGAGATTTCTGTTAGCTGGTGGAAAGCGCCAGGCTATCTCAGTCGAAACTGGGAGGTTAGGAATAAGGTTTTGCGATGGACGCGTTGCACTGATGCTTGTAGCCCTGCCCCAAAAATGTCAAAGCCCTGTCCTGCTCGGCTGTCCTTCAGTCTTGCTGACTGAAAGGGACTACCCATCTTGGAGACAAGATAGGCAAGAAGACACTGGCAGGAAGAAACCTGCCCCAGGGTCACCCAGCAGGTCTGCAGCCGACCTGAAAGTACAACCTGCCTCCCTAGTTCCCATTAACAGTGTCAAGCTTCCCCAGAGTGCTGGTGCTTGCCAGGAGCAGCGTTGTGGACTTGGGTGTAATCAGGCATCAGGTCACCATCCTTTCCTCACCATCCACCCAAAAGCCCCACCTGCCTGACGCTGACTCAGGAGCACGTGTTTTCCTCATGGCGGTTCATGCTGACATTAATCTGGTGGAAAATCCAGCTAACGTTTCCTTTTTTTCCCTGATTCCTATGCAGGAAGACCCTGTGCCCAACGGTCTCCGCGCACTTCCAGTGTTTTATGCTGCTACCATAGCTATTAACGTGTTTTCCATCATGTACACGGGGGCACCAGGTGAGTGAGCCATCCGCAGCAGGAGGCACGGGAAGGAGGCTTCCTGCAGTGTATAAGGATGCTCTGCCAGTGTGCTGTCAGGTAGCTGTCGACACTGCGCGGTTATCTCCTACGTTAGGAGTTAACGAGGGCAAGAGTAAATCATACACCTCCCCACATTTGTGCATGTGTTTTTGTGACTCCCTCCTGATCACTCCGGTTAGTGGGGAAGAGCGCAGCTACAAAGAAAGTCCCCCTTTAGAGGAAGGGGAAGTATTGAGCTGCCAGCTTCAGCTTTGTAAATCTGAGCTCTCGAAGGTATTTCAGGTACGTGCATCAAGGAGGGAAGGTTCAAAGCGGGCGGTAAGAGCAGGTGTAGGCTGTTTGCTCTCAGTCTAATGCTATAGCTCTGTTGAAATTAGCAGAGTCACTGTTCTGGCAGATCTGGCATGGAGCCTATTAATTAAATTTACTTCTTTATTTCCCTTCAGTGATAAGAAGCCCCGAGCCTGTTTCTGCATTGAATGCATCTTCTTTCTTGGGTGCTGTGTTTTCATTGCAGCTCAGTAGAAGGAAATGATACATGTCATTGTCAGGACTTTATTTGTATTTTTGAATAGTTGTATATTTTATGTGCATGTATATGTTTGTGTTTATTTATATTTGTGTTTATATTGAACTTATATTTATGTTTGTATATTTAGATTCACACATTTGTGTTTATATGTTTGCATTTATATATTTATATTTAACTTTACTTAAGCAGTGTATATGCAAACACGCATTTGCAGCAAAAGAGTTCAGAAAAAAGATGTTCAATGCTCTCGACTACTTTATTGAAGACTGTGGTCATTAAAAGTTATCTTTAGATTAGATTATTGCCCCAGAGCCATGAACGAACAGGCAAGTGAAGAGAGACTCCTGAACATGCCCCTGAATTAGGAAAGCAGGCTTAGAAAGTGACCTTTTTTGAATATAAATTTGTTTTCTCTAAAACCTGACGCACCAGATGTACTAGTGGTAGACTCTACTTCATAGCATAGCATTACTAAAAATTAATAAAAAGCTTGAGAAGTTCCCAATTTGAGGGTAACATAACTCAGCTATTCCTTATTCTTAAGTCTAACTGGCGACATATCCAAGATGTTTCACAGTAAGTCAGCTGTATAACCAACATTTCCTCATTAGTTGTACTGCAGAAGTAGGTCAGGCACTCTGCAGTGACTCATTAAGCAAAATAAATGAAATAAGAATCTTAATGTGCCTTCTGTTTCAGCTTAGCAGTTTCTAAAGTGTGTGAATAAAAAGATGTGACTCTGTTTTTGATGCTAAGGAAATACATATTTACTCTCCAAGGCCTCTGTCTTGGCAACATTTACTTACAGGGATGAATTAATCACGTAGGTTTCAAGATAGGTGTGCATACATGGGTTTGAAAGATCAGAGTCCAAGCTCTTTCTTCATTAAGGGTCTGGTCACTTAATTGAACAAGCGCAAGGAGCTCTTTTGGGGGGATACTTACGGGAACACAAGTTATTGATGTGATTGTGCATTGCAGGACTGAAACCTCAGCTCTCAAGTGCTACATTAAGCTATTATCATAAGCAAATAATGGCTTAGATCAAGTAAGCATCAGGCTTTATTGACCAGAGCAAAGGTCAGGTAAATACTTACCCTAATGGGCAACATGGTTTAACATGCATTAGTGCATAAAACCACTGCAAACTTGTTTTAGCAGCCCTGATGTGGGACTTTTACCCCTGACTTCTTTGGAAATAAGGTCACAGTGGGGTAACAGAGAATTGGAAGACTAAACCTGCAAATGTTTGCATGTCAACTGGACCTTTAAATACTGCATGAACTGATATATATGTTAAAAATTATTGGCTCATTCATGTTGGTTTTGAATACATTGTGAGCACAGGCTTTTCTGCAACAGACTGCTCTTCCACTGCCTGAGATAACTAAGTCATGTTAATTTACAGTTTGCTTAGGTTTTATTTCTTTGTCTTCACAGTATTGGGACTGGTACTGCCAATGTGGGCCATTGCTCTAATATCAGTTGGTGTATCCTTAGTATTTGCCATCTTAGTCTGGATTTGTGTGTGCCCCTGGATGAAGAGAAAAATAGAAAGTAAGTAGTTGCTTGATGGAATGTGGGTGATGTAAAATCATGGAAAATTTCATTTCAGAGCTGGAGGCTTGAAAGGTCACCTAGTCCAGTCCCCACCCACAGGCAGGATGTGCCTAAACTATTCCTCATGTATTTGTGTAACCTGCTCTTAAAAACCTGCAATGGTAGAAATTCAAAACCTTGTTAGGCAATCCACTGCAGTGCTCACTTCTTCTAGAGTCCAGAGGAAACAGGAAAATAAATTCTGGAATATAATCTGCTTTATATTTTATTAAGGAAACATTAAAGAGGAAAAATCTGGCAGAATGATTAAGTGACTTCTTTAACTTTACAGTAAGTTGGACTGATCACAGCTTTTAGGCTTTACAGTGTTTTGCTTGTTTGCTTTGCTACTCTCAACAAATGCAGTGTTTAAAATGCAGAGAAAAGTTTCAGAGTTCATTAATAAATGAGCAACTCGGCATTTTACTTCAGTTACCTAGTTCGGTGAATTTTGTAGGAAGAAACAAAGATGTTGTAGAATTTTCTCAGATGAATTTAGTAAAGATAAGTGTTACAAATAAATAAAGAATGTGTATGAAATGGAGCCAGGTTATTGTATCCATGTTGATCTATGCCGTTGATGCAAACAGTGGAAACATAAGCAGCAAGACGGATAGGCTGGGTTTAAAATTACAGTACTGTTATTTCCTTAGGCCGGTTAAAGAAAGATGCTGCACTGTCAAGGATATCAGATGAAAGTCTTGATAAAATTCAAGATGAAGAAACACCAGTCTTTAAAGAGCTTCCCGGTGCCAAAGCATCTGACGAGAGCACTATTCCCCTTACTGGCTCAGTAACAGAAGCTGCTGGGGCATCAGATACTATTGCAAATGGAAACCATCCACGTGTACCGTATGGTAAGAAAGTAAGACAAAACAGAGGGTTTATCTTCTCCCTGTTTCGGTAGGGTTTCTTGAGAGCAAGTAGGTCTCTGTTGTAAATGGTAAGTTAACGTTTGGGACTTCCAGCTCTAATCCCTCTTCAGCACTTGTTGGGAAAGATGCTCATTACAAGTGACATTTTCTAGAGAGGACTTAAAAACAATTACATTTTGTATGACTGTATTTCAGTTTTAGAAACAGCTGAAAACAAAAATTACTTTCTTTTCTGCTTTACTTTGTATCCTTAATGTATCCTCCATCCTTTAAAGCAGTGGAAAAATACAGAGAACACAAATTGCTGATGTATGAAGGTTAAATTCAGCATAAAGATGATTAGCATACTACCACAGGAGATGAAAAGATTTGGGCTTTAGTTGACAAACGTATGATCCTTTTGGAGCGTGTCCACTAGAAAAATCTCACACATTGTTTTCTGAACATATATTTATAAGTAGGCTTGTGTGCATAAAGCTCTTTTTGTTCTTCCATGTGGTGGGATCGCACCCCCCCTACTTAGCAGTCTGCTGACTTTCATATCACTTTGCTAACATCTACACAGCCCTGTAATTTGGTTAATAAATGCCTAATATATTCAACTGATTCTTACAAAATCAAATAAGTCATCATATGAAGCCCTTTGAGTGTGTGCTTCCAGTTTAAAAATAGCTAAAACCAATTCTGAATGTTGCACAGTGGAAATCTGGGAAGTCAGGAAATGAAAAAGATAGTTTCTTCAGAAATATTGCCTTAGCTGTGACATGTGTCCTACAGCGTACGCTAATGTTAAATGTATACAGTGGGAATAACTATAATCTTGTTCATAGAAATAAGATATACAAAATGGTGGAATAGCTGAGGAAATATTTCTGTAGAACATGAACTTTTTTGCTTTCTGTTTTTTTAATTATTTTTAGAATTTGTGTAAATGTCTTTTAAACATAGGTGCTTTTGAAAGGTGACCTCATATTCAATATGAAATTACAGTAAATCACCTTTCCTGAAATCCTTATCTATTAATGTAGACAAAGCCTCAGAAAAAGTAGAGCTTATTTTACAAGAAAGGAATTTTATAGAAATTACTTTTTCAAAGAACCTGAGGATTTAACCTTCAAGTATTACCTTTGAGTAGCCAATCCCAAGTGACTTGCTGCACGTCATACAGCGTGTCTGGGGAAGACCCAACGCTGGAACAAAGCTCTCTTTGCACAGAAGATGAGAGAGTTTATTTTGCGGTGAATCTTGGCTTATTCACTGCGTATGTTGCAAATTGATCTTCTTTGTCCTGTAGTCTTGGATTACTGCCGTTTTATTGTCTCATGAAGTGCGAGGGAGGGGGCTTCTGTAGTACATTTCATAGAAATAAAAACTCTAAATCTCTGCCGTTTTAGGAAGAGCATTTTCGATGACGCACACCTCGGTGAAATCACCTGTTTCCAATGGCACCTTCAGCTTCGATGGCCAGATGAGGAGCGATGGCCATGTTTATCACACTGTGCACAAGGACTCAGGTTTATACAAAGACTTGCTCCACAAAATACACCTGGACAGGGCCACCGATGAGAGGCCCGCTCAAGAAAACAACTACAAACTGTTACGACGCAACAACAGCTATACTTGTTATACAGCTGCTATTTGTGGCATGCCCGTGCATTCCTCCTTTAAGGCAGCAGATATGTCAACTCCGGAGGACAGTGAGAAGTTAGTGGGAGACACTGTTTCCTACTCCAAGAAGCGAGTTCGCTACGACAGCTACTCCAGCTATTGCAATGCAGTGGCCGAGGCAGAGATTGAGGCGGAGGAAGGTGGGGTGGAAATGAAGTTGGCTTCTGAACTCGCAGATCCTAACCGGCCCCCAGTTGATCCCGTGGAAGAGGATAAGGAAGAGAAAGACACATCTCAGGTCCATCTACTTTTCCACTTCCTCCAGATCTTAACAGCCTGCTTTGGATCCTTTGCCCATGGAGGTAATGATGTCAGGTAAGAGGATGAGATCTCACAAACCAGCAGTTTTACCGTTTAAGTGCTTGGAGCAAGGTTTGCCATCTTAGCTGGTCAGAAAGCATATTCATTTCTGCAGGCGGATGATCATCAGGGCTGTGTTTTGCAAACCTTGTGACACTGATGTCCCTGGTGCATTCCAGGAGTTGGGCTGCTCAGTCTATGGTTTATTTTCTTCTCAATGGTAACATCTTTTTTATTCGTTGCTAATTGTGTGGTAATTAGTTTAATTCAGGTTTAATTTTGGCAAGCTTTGAGGCATTGAGACTCCCCCTAGCATGCCAACCACTGTAAAAGCAAACAGGACAATCCCAGCTCGACAGAGTTCGCAGCCTATTTTAAGTGCAAGATTGGAGACCATCAACAAATGAGAGGTTTAGACTATTTTTGTCATTAGATGAATTTCATCTCTTGTCACCACTGCAAAAAGAGGTGTGTGAAGAACGTCTTCATTTTGATTGCTGCAGCCCTTATAGACTTCCCTTTGCTGAATCTTTTGCTTGTAGTTCTCCAGGGGTCTAGGACCGTGTGAGGCAGTGTATCACTAAGTAGCCCAGAAAATCTAACAAGCCTTAACATCAAAGTCCTACTGAATTTCATAAACTGCACATACAACTTCTCCAGCTGCCACAGTTCTCTTACCAAAACAAAGGGAGCTACTCCCAAGGACGCCTGGGCACTTTCCTGTGCCCCATGTGGAGAGGGGACATGGGCTATGGCTAGTGCTCATTTAAGAAGCTTCCCATCTCCCAGCATCATTCCAGTACACAGTACTCCCTGTCAGGAGTTTTATCCAGAGCCGCTATCACCGTTGAGTTGCTCCTTGACTTTGGAAGAAGCCAGCAAGTTCATCCTTCAGTCATTTGACTTAAGCATGTCTGTCCTTAAATCCTGTGGCATTAACATAATTTCCCAGGAATAAAGGAAAAGGATCATCCTCCAGGAGTCTTTCTGTCATGTTCGTATTGACTCAGACAGCTGACGATATCTTGATCTCAGAAATGTTTATCTGCACTTCTTTGCCCTTTGTCATCCGGTCAGACGCCCACGAAATAGTGTCTCTTCACTTACTTATTTGCCAACCTCTTTCCCTTTGAAGGCTCTTTTATTCCACAAAGTACAAGACTTTTGACTGACAGACATAGGATGTAGGCTCAGGATGGAGCAATTTATACCTTCCTTGTCTGCACTCACATTGCTCATCTGCTTGTAACATTGCTTCACCTGCAGGGCCCTATTGCACCTCGCCATCTTGGGGGCATGTAGCTGAAGGGCAGTTTGGGTATTTTTGCTCTGTCCCTGGGAACATTGCATATTTTTCCATTAGGATTTGGCTGGGCTGCCTCTTCCCTAGGCCTGGAGCCTTGGTATTTAGTAGGTGCTCTTTCCTGTATCGTGATAAGGTCCCCTGAGAAATCCACACAGAAGCTGCTTGTCGAAGCAGCGGTCCTTATTTGGGTGGTAGCTGAGGCCATACTGAGTCCCCTTCCTGCTGAACCCTCGCCTTGTTAGCCGTGCCCTGCTGGTGTCGGTTTCAGCATTTGCAGTGGGGCTTTGCAGCGTTCATAACTTTCATAGTGCTCCTTAGGCATCTGGGCAAATGCTGTCCCACTCAGCAAGGAGAACAGTTATTGCTTCTTGTTCTTGTCAGCCACCCAATTTAACTCACAGCTCATCTCGAAAAGACTTACTAACATGCCTCTTTCCTCCCCACCCACCCAGCGTCCTGGGAATTTGGAACAGGCCTTTCTGAAGACCTGCCTTGTCCTCGCTCTTGTTATTACTCCCTTCATATCCACGGGGATCTGGTTCCGGGAAGGAGTCAAGGATCCCCTCATCCTCTGGGTCAGAGGACAGCGATGCAACTTTCTTTCCTCTCGGATGGTTTCTGTTGATCAGGACCTGTGCTCTGAGCACACTGGGCAAGAGCAAAGACCCATGGAGGCCAGTACCCGTGCTCTGCAATTGGCCAGCAGCGAGTGCTGAGGGGAACATACGCATAAGGACAAACACTGCTGATAATTTCTTGTAATGTACCCTGGGAAATACCATTGCAGAAAGTTCTTAGCCTACCCCAGTAGGTGCCCCTGCTCCTTTATTCCCTGTAGGTGATGTCTATACATACTCCTCAAGGACTCACATGTTTATGCAAGCATCACTTGCCTTTTCTGTAGGAGGCAAGGATAGTAGAGTTTGTTAGAAAGTGATCTGTAAGGATGCAGTCAGTTCAGAAATCAAATTTGGTGTTGATAGGAGCTGGACAGGATGAAAGACAAGGTTTGGACTCTGTGCAGTATGCTTTATTGCATCTCACAGCCTAATTCCTCCAGATTTCTGCATTTGGACTGGCTTGTTGCCTTGGAAATATCCCTTCCTGAAAATTCATATTTTTTGGTGTTTTGCAGATCTGTACTTCTGTCAGTGATCCTACCAAATTTGCCAGCAAGCATGCATTTTTATTAAATGCTGTTTATTCCAAAATCTCTTCTTAAGCTGAATTCATGTAATTGCAAAACTAAAGAGCAGGTTACCTTCATTTTGTCAAAGCTGGTAGAAATGCAAGAAGATGGTCATGGGTGTAGAGTTGTATAGGAACCCATGCTTGCAATTGTTCTGAGTTCCAGCTAAGCAACAAGTGTTAAAGACCCCTTTGTATGCCAAAAAGGTTGAGTAGATAAAACACTCTGGGAATGCAGGTATCTATCCTGTGGATTGTGTAGCAGAGACATTTTGCCAGTCTTTGTCTAGCAGAGCAGAAGACTTCTTACTGGGCTCTTGGCTCCTCCACATGTCACATAAAGATCTGCAGAGCTTGAAAGGCAGTGTGTTGTTTTAAAAATAATGCAGTAGAACCTAGCTAGTAGCATGGCCTTCTGTCCACATTTGTGTAGGAAAGCAAGCCTTGGCAATCCATCTTCCACTGAAGGCTGCTATCTTTTCATCTCCCTCCTTCCTTCACTTTCCTTCTGCTCATATTTAGGTGTTGCTGTCAAGCTGCTTCTCTAATTTTTTTTTCTCAGCCTTGAATCATGTCATTAAAATCCTGCTTTCCTCTACATTTGGTTTTAAGCACCTCACTCATATATTTAGGGAAGCACCTCTGTTGTCCACATCTTTTTGTTTGGGCTTGTCTCCTACATTTTCCTTCCCCATCCTGGAACTCACTCTGGTCCCATGTTTTCTGTTTATTTTCCATCAGGCTCTTTGCTGGTATTTCTTGAAGGGACAGGAGCAGATAAAATGAGCAAAGAGAGAAAAAATAAAAGCTAATGTAAAAATTAAAAACTGCAGGTAGTTAAATGATTGACCTGTTTTAGAGCATATTTAAGCATGAGGCATACAGTACAGACTGAACCATGGTGCACCTCAGAAATGCTTTATGGAGCTGTCGTGGTTTAACCCCAGCCAGCAACTAAGCACCACGCAGCCGCTCACTCACTCCCCCCCCATCCAGTGGGATGGGGGAGAAAATCAGGAAAAGAAATAAAACTCGTGGGTTGAGATAAGAACAGTTTTATAGAACAGAAAAGAAGAAACTAATAATGATAATGATAACACTAATAAAATGCCAACAGTAGTAATAAAAGGATTGGAATGTACAAATGATGCGCAGGGCAATTGCTCACCACCCGCCGACCAACCCCCAGCCAGTCCCCGAGCGGCGATTCCCCGCCCCTTCCTAGTTCCTAAACTAGATGGGACGTCACATGGTATGGAATACCCTGTTGGCCAGTTTGGGTCAGGTCCCCTGGCAGGGCATGAGAAGCTGAAAAATCCTTGACTCTAGTCTAAACACTACTGAGCAACAACTGAAAACATCAGTGTTATCAACATTCTTCACATACTGAACTCAAAACATAGCACTGTACCAGCTACTAGGAAGACAGGTAACTCTATCCCAGCCGAAACCAGAAGGGCTCCATATAGTTTGGATTGCTTTTAAGTGGGCAAAAAGTCATATGGAGACCTCCCTTGTTTCTTTGTCCAGGCTTTTCCCCTGGACCTAGAAGAGTTAAATCAGTATTTTTGCCTTCGACTGCAGAACTAACTCATAATAAGGGTAGCTAGACCCCAGTGTCTTCCAAGAGGATGCTTTTTAGCATCGTAAGGATACCAGCCATCTTTGCTGTACGAGCTGATGTTTGTAGCAGTCAGGGCTTGTGTTTAGGCTGACATCAGCAGGGATCCTGGCCAGGGCAGTTGTGCGTTAAAAGAATCAGGGAGTCATGGTAACTCCTTATTCGGGTGACTCTTTTGTTCAGACCATCCCCTCCTGCCCCCCTGCTGCAGAGCTTATATGCGCTGCTGTGTCAAGGATGCTGGAGCCCTTCCAGGGCTGGGACTAACTGAGCCGGGCCGAGAGCCTTGTGACACCATCGTGCACATGGGCTGAATGAAATCTAAAGAATTTAAAATCCTGACTAAATATGTTGGGACAGAACTGCTGAAAAAAATGTTGTTGTTGAACTTAATTAGTGGCGCAAAGTGAGCAGGTCTCACTGGCTCAGCACCCAAGCACAAAGGGAGCACGTCAGGTCATTGCAAGGGCAACGGGAGAATAAAAAGGGCAGGACGGAAAAAAAGACCTGGGCCAGGAGCGTGACACAAGGAGAACTGCCAGCTTCCTAAATGCTTGTTCAGAGCCAGCTTTCCAGAGGGGCCAGGAGGGTGGGCTTTGTTGGTTGGTGGGGATTATATGCACCTATGGTTGAGTTGGACTCAGCTTATTTTCTGAAAGTGTAGGTTGGTTCAGCAAGAATCATGATTATCTGGAGCTCAGCGCTGCAACCACAACAGCTTACCTGCGTAAATGCAGGTAGCAGGAGAGTTGCTGAAGCTGTAGGGTTTATGGTGCATTTCAAAGTCTGGAAGCATGTCTGAATTAACTAGTTCTCGAAAATGAAGGCATTTGGGCAGGCTGTTTTGGAAATGGCTAGAGAGGACTGCTAACCCCATAGCTATCTCCTATGCTTAGCACA